GAAGGTTTAGTTTAACGGACGAAGTCTTAAAACTTTCTCTCAGCAAGGCTCCAGTCTTATGCAGCCCCGATTTTGCAAAGCCTTTTGCGATACATTGTGACGCTAGCAAAACCGGGATAGGCGCAGTTCTAGTACAGGTGTCTGAAGATGGAGACGAACGGCCTATTGCCTTCTTTTCAAAGAATCTGAACAAAGCTCAGCGTAATTATACTGTTACCGAGCAAGAATGCCTAGCGGCGGTAGCAGCTCTCAAGAATTTTAGGGCGTATGTGGAGGGGCATAAATTTAAAATCGTAACCGATCATGCCTCAAATCATGCAAATTTAAAAAAAAAATCCCTTAGTAAAATTCAACCATGCCAAAAAAAAAAATGAATTAAATCTAAAACTGAATTATTTCAATCGACTCTTGAAAAAAAACTTTTTAATTTTGAAAAAAAAGAATAGCATTAAATAATTAGCAAACCACTAAAGAAGATGAAATAAGAATTAGTTATAAAAGAACAAATCAATGAATTATCTCTGAACAAACTATTTCTTTCAACATTACATTTTTTGAACTATTTTTTTTACAATCTTATCTCAACCGTTTTTAAGCACATGTTTACATACATTTTATACACTTATTATACTTTACTTATATATTTATATACACTTGCAGGCCCAAAATTCACTCATGCAGTTTAATTCTAATTTTGTATTATTTCGATTAAATAGTTTCATCTAGGCTTAGAATAATCAAGAAATTAAATATGTTTACTATCAAGGAATTAAATTTAAAAATGAAAGCTTAAGTAATTAATCAACTGAACTCGGCTGATGTCTCTGCGGTCCTAGGGTATAGAAGGGATCACCAGAGTTATCCTCTAGCGGCAGGTGGTCGAAGGTAGGGTGGGCAGAATGCGAGCTTAATGACATCTCAGGCTTCGCAAACAACAAATCTCTCTCTCTCTCTCTCTCTCTCTATCTCTCTCTCTCTCTCGTCCTTTTCCGCTGTTCCTTTTTTTGGTTTTTAATTATGCATATTTTCTTCCGGTTTAGTAACTAGCTTTAGATATTGTCGCAAGCACGCTCATTTCGGATCCTATTAATAGTAATGCGTAGACAGTGTCAAGATCTGTACGAGCAAGACCTCCACCCCCAAAGCCGACGAGCTAGTGCCGGAATATATAGCGTGCCCAGCCAATACAGATCCATGGAAACCTTTTGTACATTAGTCGAACGTTACACGTTACAGTGATAATTAATTATTATTAATAAAAAAAGTGGAGTCCAACTTGTGGGGCCTTAATGAATACAGTTTAATTTATTGAGACTCACAGATGCATAAATTTAACAGTCTTTAACATTTTTCTTTACTCTTTTCAAAGTTCTTTCTTAAAGTTTTAAAAAATTCCTGGTAAACAGATCGAGTGACTATTAGTAATCCCGACTGTCCGAAAATTAAGAATTTAAGAGAGAATTTTTCTATAAATAGCCGAGAGGACAAGGTGTCTTGAACCGAGGATCGCAGAAGCCGAAACCAGAACTAGGTAGATTTTCTGTCCCGGATTCAAATGTCGAGTCTTTGAGCTAACCACCTTTAAGAAATTAAATTAGTACATATACTTCTCTATATGGAAAATACTGACTCACGAGCTGTGCCATATCCAGAAAGAGGTTATGATTTGTTTTCCCTTTTTGTGAATAGACGATTTATACGCTTTTAATCCGGAGTTGGAATACAAGCGAGTATGTTTTCGAACAATCCGCTGACCAAGTCCAAAAAGAGTAGGTAACTTCTTTCCCCTTTCTTTTATTTCCTAAGTTCTGAGAGATTTTGTAAAAATATAGATACCCTTCGTCGTAGAGCATCAAGCTAAGAGTTCAGTTAATATTTCCTGATTACGTTATTTAGATTTTTTTGTTAGTTTCAAAGATTTCGATTTTTGCTGAACTATTATCGTTCCGCATATATATTTTTTTTGAAGCTATTGCGTACCTCTTATATCTTATCACGTAATCTATTATCGGACCACTGATATTTTTGAAGAAACTATTATCTTACCGTTTATACACATTTCATTTGCAAAAAAAAAAATAATTTTATTATCGTCCTTATTCATGATGGGGGTAGACCATACACCGGAAAGGGCAACCAGAAGGGGTGCAAACATCGTCTGTCCGATATGCAAGGACGAAGTATACATAGTAGAGGTTTGCACTACATCATGTCAGCATGAATTTCATAAGCGATGCTTAGAGGAGCATTGGAAGAAAAGTGCACTGTGTCCGGTGTGCAAAGCTTCCTGTAGGCCAACACTCCCGAAGAGTGGAGATTGCCGACAAACTCGTAGCCAAGCGAAGAACCGTCAGCCCGCAGACAACGCGGACAGACAATTATCAGACGATATAGCTTCGACGTCAGGATACATTTCCAATACCATTAACAGCGGTAATACTAATCCAAGCGTTATAACTGCAAATGCCATTACTTTACTAGCAATGGAGAGAAGATTGCTAGCTACACTTACCGAAAGTATGGCCGATTCCATTCAAAAGTCCGTTTCTGAAGCTATGTCAAGGGTAATGTCCGATCAAGGTGCTAATAGAACTACGAGAGAGCGAAGTCAACCTTTCAATCCTCAACAGTTCGGAAGCGATTACAATAGGATCGACACAAGAGAAGAAACCGGGGGTGAATTCTAGGCAAGAGATTTTAGCTCCCTGTTCTCCTGCGTCGCTACGAAGTGCCGAATCTGATTTATTAAATCGACCAGATAAAGTAGTTCATATTTTGAACGGCTGGAAAATAAAATTTTCCGGTGTAGGAGTGTCAGTAGACAATTTTATTTACCGCGTTGAAGCATTAACCAAGGAAACGTTAGGCAACAATTTCACAGTTCTTTGTAGAAATGCTAGCGTGCTTTTCGAAGGAAAAGCTAATGAATTTTATTGGAGATATCACAAGGCGCATGGCGAAGTCCGATGGGATAGATTTTGTTCAGCTTTGCGTCTACAGTTTCGACATAGTAGGGATGACGGTGATCTTGAAGAGCTGATTAGGAACACCAAACAAAAGCCGAACGAAACCTTCGATTGTTTCTATGACTCCATTTCAAGTCTAATCGATCAGTTAGAACAGCCTTGGACACCTCACAAGCTCATTCGGGTTCTCCGAAACAATCTTCGTCCAGAAATTAGACATGAGATCTTGAATATCGACATTCAATCAGTTTCAGAACTGAGGGAGATTTGTCGCAGGCGTGAAGCGTTCTTGTCTGATGTTAAGCGTTGTCAGGGTGATTTAGTCCAGAACAGGAGATGCCTCCAGAATCAGAATCTGATAAGGAAGGCGATATCGAAGCCTTGTCCTTGTTGTGCTGGAACTGCCGCAAGGAAGGTCACAGGTATCAGGACTGTGTAGCCGAAAGAAGAATCTTTTGCTATGGTTGCGGAGCTGCCAACACATACAAACCCGGCTGTAATAAATGTTCAAAAAACTGCAAAGCGGGCGGATCGATGCCGCCATACAAACAGAAGACCTTCAGTGGCGTTCGGAATCAAGCAACGATGACCGATTTGGCAAGAGGCATGTAAAGCCGGACTGGAATATATTAATTCTCTACCTGCAGGACCTAAAGATCCTCGACCCTTTTTATCATGCGAATCATGTTCGATCGTACCGTTTACGGACTATTAGACTCTGGCGCATCGATTAGTTATGTCGGTGGAAACCTAGCCAGTGACATAATTGACAGCAAAGAGTTTAAGACCATTAAAGGCAGCGCTACAACTGCTGATAGAACATCTCAGCAGATAGTTGGTCATTTGAAAGTTGAAGTTGAATACAACAATATCAAAAGGCCTTTAAAAATTTATGTAGTACCATCACTGAAGCAGAATTTGTACTTAGGCATAGATTTCTGGAAACTTTATGATCTGCTTCCCAAATGCCTAAATGTATCCTCACTAGAATTTGATCCCGACCGTAAGGTCAATGCTGATCAGCATAAATTGTCCGAGTTTGACAAAGCCAAGTTAATGAATGTAATTAACTGTTTTCCGTCTTTCGCTCAAGAAGGTCTCGGCCAGACCAACTTGATAATGCACTCAATCGATGTTGGAACGGCCAAGCCGATAAAACAACGACACTTTCCTGTCTCACCCGCAATAGAAAAGGCCATGTATGCCAAGATAGATAGAATGATACAATTGGGTGTGATAGAGGAGTCTGAAAGTTCGCGGTCTTCTCCCATCGTGATGGTGACGAAACCCGGAAAAATTAGGATCTGTCTAGATTGCCGGAAGGTAAACAGCTTCACGGAAAAGGATGTGTTCAGTTTTGCTGCGTGTCCCACTGTGCGGGAGAGTGGCGATCAGCCGATCGCTCACTCGTCGCTGGACAGTGCATACGATGCGGGAAGAAGAGAATGGAAGAGAGGTGAAAAGTTAGTCTGATCTTGCAAACGCCGCTGAACGCACGCCGCCGGTCTAACGCCTTATCTATTGCGAATACACACCCATCTGTACATACATATATATATCTAGTCTAAAGTAAATCAGTGAATAATAATAATTATAACGTTGGAAATCATCCCGACCTGTGTTTACTCTTGCCTGGGAACCCCTCCTACAATGACCTCTTGTTAGTTGCAGACATACAAGGGGACACAACTATACATGGTGGCCCATGAGGGGAACCTTGCAATTGTGAAAATTTAAAGTCGATTATACTGGGTGTAAATAGATTCCGTTAGATCGCGCGGCCGCGTTAAGTTTGCAAGTCGGCTCGGCGAACTGCCTGAAAAGAAGACGGCGATACATAAGCGCATCAACGGCAGGTCAAGGAACGGAGGCGCTCTCTTCTTTTGGTTTCTTTGAGTGGCTTCGGGGTGAAATCTTGTGTGCAAAACGGAGTAAGTGACAAATTGTGTGCGAGACAAGAATTTACCAATATCTTCTTTACATGTTTATTTGGGGTGGTGAGTTGCGCTAAGTTTTGGTTTTACACTCGTCAGCATGGAAACTGTTTCGGATCCTCCAACTTTCGAGCAATTAGTTAACTTACAGGCAAATCGGGCCCAATCCCTTAAATCGACGCTGCTGAATTTTAAAAAGGATTCACAATCGAGGAAAACGAGAATTTATTTAAAGAAGCGGTTGCAACAAGTGGAAGAGCTAAGGAGCGCGTTCCAGGAGACTGATGCCGTGATCGTGAATCTAGAAGGTTTTGCTGAATCGAGCTATGCCGTGAAAAATTTCCAGTCGGAGTTCGAGGAGCGTTATATGGACGCCTATTGTGCCATCGCAGAGGATTTGGATAGACTTGAAGCCGAGACTCCTAAGCTGCAGCCACTGCCAAGTGGAGCCGCTGATCCGGAGGTGCGACTGAACATGCCACAGATGTCAGTTCCCAAGTTTTCCGGTGCGTGTGTGGACTGGCCAGGCTACTATGACGCTTTCACGAGCCTCATACATAACAACAATAATTTGAGTAACGTACAGCGGTTACATTTTCTGAAGGAATCGTTGCCGGTAGGGCGCGATAATGACATCCGTCAAATGCAGCTCACGGAGACGAACTACGCCGTGGCATGGGGAATGATGATTAAAAGGTACAACAATCCTCGTCTAGTGTTTTCCCACCACATGAACGCGATATACGCGTTGCCCAGGCTGCAAAAGGATAATACGGATTCCATACGGTCGATGCTGAGCACGGTCAATGTTTGCCTGGCTGCATTCCGCCGCGTCCAAGCCTTGGACGGGGAACGGCAGCACTGGTTGGCGCATTACATAGCAGCGAAGTTGCCCAAGGAGACCCACAACGCTTGGGAGCACCACCAAGGGAGCGGTGCCACCGTTCCCACTTATAAGGATTTAGAATCGTTTTTGAATGATCGGCTGGTCATAATGGATGCGATCGAGAACCGAAGCTCGTCGTACGACTCCAATAATGGCCCAGGATCTGCCGACCCAGGCAAGAGAGTGCGAGTGCATAATGCACAGGAGCACTCAAGGCGCCCGAATAGCTCCTGTTATCACTGTAGCGGTGACCATATCCTGCGTCGTTGTGCCGCCTTTCTGGCCTTGGACTGCTATAAGAGGAAGGACATAGTCACCAGGGCGAAATTATGTATTAATTGTCTGAGTAAAGCACATGCGCTTTCCCGCTGTACCAGCAATAAGAGCTGCCAAATTTGTGGCCAGCGCCATCATACGCTGTTGCATTTCCCAGCATTGGCTCAGGACCGATCGTCAAGCCATACACCGCTGCATCCAGTTCGGTCTGCCGCGACGCATCCTGATGCAGCTGGGGAGACCGTACCTCAGCAGGGCCTACAGTCAACGTCGGGCCAGAATCCGGACGCATCTTACAGATGCTATTCAGCAACTTCGGCGAATGGGTCCTCCCGAAATGTGCTCCTCGCCACTGCTCGTATTGCCGTACGAAACCCGGTCAACGGGCTACGAGCGGTCATAAATGCTCTCATCGATCAAGGATCTGAGGCAACCATAGTTTCGGAGCACGTCGTACAGTCCCTGCATCTGAGACGGTGCAATACCCGAGCATCGATTTTTGGGGTGGGCCCAGGGGGCGGTCGTCGTTGCAAGTATACAGTTAATTTCGAAGTTAATAGTATTATTAATCCAAATTTTTCTCTAGAGGTTGATTCAGCATATGTTCTCAATTCAGTTACTTCCTGTCTGCCTAGCCTTAGCTTCACGCCGCAGCGTTGGAATCATATTCGAGGGCTCCCTCTGGCGGATCCGAGCTACGCCCGGTCGAAGAGAGTCGATCTCATCTTAGGAGCGGACATGTTGGCGCAAATCATGCTGCCAGACACCAGGATTGGATTGCCCGGCGAGCCTATAGCGCAGAATACACGCTTCGGATGGATTCTATCGGGACGTGCCGAAGGAGTAAGAGAAGCAACACAATTGCGCTGTCATCGAGTGCTGCTGGACACGGAGGCATTGCTGAAGCGTTTCTGTGAAGTCGAGTCAGTTCCTGATCGCCCTATAGCGACAGAGGGGGACCTCTGGTGCGAGTCGTTTTTTCAGGAGACCCACGTGCGTCGACCGGATGGCCGCTATGTGGTCAGGTTGCCTTTTAAAACCTATCTCGATCCGACCATGGTCTTGGGAAAGTCTCATCAGATGGCGCTTAATCGGTTTCTCCAGATGGAAAGGCGTCTGTCCAACAATCCAGACCGTTGGAGCAAATATGTGGATGAGATTGAGGAATACTTCGCGCTCGAGCAAATAGCGCCGGCAATGGGCAGTGAAAGCAGCACAGTAAGGAGTACGGCCGCGAACAGGCATGTAGCCTCTTGTGTACTTCCGCATCACGCTGTCTTTAAGAAGGAAATTCAGTCAACCAAACAGCGAATCGTCTTCGATGCCTCCTCAAGGACTAGCAATGGAAGATCTTTAAATGACATTTTGTGGACTGGGCCTACTCTTCAAAACGACATGTCTGCAGTCATTCTCAACTGGCGGAAATATCGTTTTGTTTTCACGGCGGATATACAGAAAATGTATCGGTGTATCGATGTTCACCCGGAAGACGCCCAATATCAGCGGATTTTATGGCGGGCGGCGGATGGGTCCATCAACGTTTATGCGTTGACAACGCTAACCTTCGGAACGGCTTCGGCACCCTTCATGGCGATCAGAGTCATTCAACAATTAGCGAAGGATGAGCGGTGTTCGTTTCCTAAGGCGGAAGAAGTATTAAGGGACGAGATCTACGTGGACGACATTCTTTCCGGTGGGCATACGATAGAAGATGCGGAGGATAAACGGGCCCAGGTATCGGGTGCTATAAAATCCGCTTGCATGGAGTTGCGGAAATGGTCCAGCAACGAAGAGAGCCTTTTGCAATCGATTCCGCCAGAGCATCAATGCAGTCGGACACCTCTGAACTGGGACGCTGCGGATCCGATCAAGGCGTTAGGAATGTATTGGCTCCCCAATAAGGACTGCTTCAAATTTCAGGTCAATTTTGAGATACCACCTACTTTCACTAAGAGGACGATCCTGTCGAGCATAGCGAGGCTGTTCGACCCGCTAGGTCTCATCGCGCCAGTCATCATCTCGGGAAAGTTAATATTGAAGGAGGTAACCATGGCTAAGAAAACGCAGGACAACGGCGCTAGGACGGCTCTGGATTGGGACGACGAGGTTCCTAAGGCTCTTGCGGAAAGGTGGCAAGCATTTCGGGACGGCTTGCTGGGGATAGACGGCCTGAGCATACAGCGGTGGATTCATTATTCCCCAGGATCCATAGTATCAGCTCAGCTGCACGCGTTTTGTGACGGATCTTCCACGTCCTATGCAGCTACTACTTATCTAAGGCTCGAGCACGGGAATGGAGCGTGCTACGTCTCGCTGTTGGCCGCAAAATCAAAGGTTACCCCTACTAAACCCCTAACCATACCAAGAACGGAGCTGAGTGGTGCAGTGCTAGCCGTCAAGTTGGTGAAATGGCTTACATCGGCTAGGTGGCTAAATGACCTTCCCATCCAGACCTTTTATTGGACGGATGCCACGATTCTTCTTCATTGGCTGCACGGGGACGTCAATAGATGGAAGACGTTCGTTGCCAACAGGGTCGCCTTCATTCTGGACCACTCGTCGCCATCGCAATGGAGACATGTAGGTACTAGCGAGAATCCAGCGGACTGTGCGACAAGAGGGCTTCCTCCGAGCGAGCTAAAGGATTTTGATTTGTGGTGGCGAGGCCCGGAGTGGCTTACACGCAAGCAAGATGACTGGCCTTCGACGGAGATCGGGCAGGTCGACATACACGATGCCGCGCTGGAGGCAAAGGCGGACAAGGTACGCGTTCACCTGGCAGTTCCGCAACCATCGTTGGTTGAGAGGTTTTCCAGTTTCAGCCAGGCCATAAGAGTCACAGCATTTATAATTCGGTTCAAAAGCAATGCTATTAGCAAAGGAGAGAGGTATACCGGTCCCCTAAGCATTAAGGAGCTCGACTATGCTTTACTCGCCATCGTGCGCATTGTTCAAAGGGAGTCCTTCTCGTCTGAGCTGGCCGCATTGATGAATTCTAAACGGCTGCCCTCCAAAAGCAAGCTTCAGAGTTTGTCACCGATCGTGGTGGAGGGAATCTTACGAGTGAGGGGGCGATTGCGCCATTCGGGGCTATCATACGAACGTCGGCATCCAATAATCCTCCCAAGTTCTCATATTTTTACAGAGCTAGTAATACGGTACTCGCATACTTTGACTCTGCACGGAGGTGCGCAGCTGACCTTGGCCCACGCTCGCCAGCGGTTCTGGATACTGACAGGGAGGCAAGCAGTTCGAAGGGTGCTGCGGAAGTGCGTGAGGTGCTTTCGCACCCGGCCAACCACCTCGGCTCAGCTCATGGGAGACCTGCCGCTACGCAGGGTCAACCCCCCTAATCGACCGTTCCTGGCGACGGGAGTTGACTACACAGGCGCTATAGAGCTGAAGGCAGCGCGCTTGAGAGGAACCAGCTTCTACAAGGGATACATAGCCGTTTTCATTTGTCTGGCGACGAAGGCTGTACACTTGGAGGCAGTGACGGGTCTCACCACGGAGCATTTCTTGCTGGCTTTAGACCGGTTCACCGGGCGGCGAGGGATGGTTCAGCATTTATACAGTGACAACGGAACCAACTTTATCGGCGCGGATAATCTAATGAAGGCATTATTCGGAAGGCTGCAGGAGGATTACGAGAAGCTCATAGCCCCAAAGCTCGCTGCGCAGCGTGCCACTTGGCATTTCAATCCACCTCAATCGCCCAACTTTGGCGGGCTGTGGGAGGCCAATGTGAAGTCGGTGAAGCACCACCTTAAGAGGGTCATCGCCGATCGACGGCTCACCTATGAGGAGTTATCTACGGTGCTCATAAGCATAGAAGCATGCCTCAACTCGCGGCCGCTGTGCCCTCTCACAGCCGATGCTGACGATCTAGAGGTGCTTACGCCGGCTCATTTTCTAATTGGAGACTCCATGTTGGCGCCTCCGGAGTATAGGCCGCAGTCCAAGTCCTTCGCAGAGCAGTTTCTTATCCAGCAGTCAATGATTCGCCATTTCTGGAAGGCTTGGAGTCGAGACTGGCTGGCTCATCTGCAGCAGAGACCGAAGTGGTGTCATGAGGCTGAAGGTCTGCAGTTGAACGACCTTGTCATCATCAAGGATGACCGATTCCCGCCTTCACAGTGGCTGTTAGGACGGGTCGTCGAGTTACACCCAGGGGCGGATGCGTTAGTCCGGGTGGTAACCCTTAAAACCAAGCAAGGCCAATTAAAGCGGTCAGTGTCGAAGCTGTGTCCACTGCCAATCCGTTCTTAAGCGCTCTCACGTACACCTCAATCATAATAAATTATTTCTTGCGCACACCGTTTGTCTCTTGTCTCCATTCTAGATTCTGCCCCGCCTACTACCCCCAGGATGGACTGGACACGCGGAGATGTCTCATGCTAGGTCTAGCATTGGCGGGCGGCATGTTCAGTTTTGCTGCGTGTCCCACTGTGCGGGAGAGTGGCGATCAGCCGATCGCTCACTCGTCGCTGGACAGTGCATACGATGCGGGAAGAAGAGAATGGAAGAGAGGTGAAAAGTTAGTCTGATCTTGCAAACGCCGCTGAACGCACGCCGCCGGTCTAACGCCTTATCTATTGCGAATACACACCCATCTGTACATACATATATATATCTAGTCTAAAGTAAATCAGTGAATAATAATAATTATAACGTTGGAAATCATCCCGACCTGTGTTTACTCTTGCCTGGGAACCCCTCCTACAATGACCTCTTGTTAGTTGCAGACATACAAGGGGACACAACTATACAGGATGCATACCCTCTTCCTCAGATAGCGGGAATTTTAAGTCGTTTGCCTAAGGCGGAATTCATATCCAGCCTTGACCTTAAGGATGCCTATTGGCAGGTTCCTTTAGAGGTTTCATCGCGAGACAAAACGGCTTTCACTGTCCCGGGTAGACCGCTCTACCAGTTTAAGGTTATGCCTTTTGGGCTGTGCAACGCCACAATGTCCCGTTTAATGGACAAGGTTGTGCCAGCTCATCTCAGAAACGAGGTGTTTATTTACCTCGACGATTTATTGGTAGTTTCTGCCAGCTTTGGGAGGCATCTTGAAGTTCTCAGAGAGATCACTCTGCAGATAAGGCGTGCAGGTTTGACGATCAACATTGGCAAAAGTCATTTCTGCATGCTTCGTGTGCGATATCTGGGACATATAATTGGCGATGGTGGCATACGCACCGACCCAGAAAAGGTGGCCGCCATTACTAACTTTCCGTTGCCAAACACGTTACGAAGTCTACGAAGTTTTATGGGTTTGTGTGGGTGGTATCGCAAGTTTGTTCCCAATTTTGCTTCACTCTCAACTCCTTTAACAGACTTAATGACCTCAAAACGAAGGTTTAGTTTAACGGACGAAGTCTTAAAACTTTCTCTCAGCAAGGCTCCAGTCTTATGCAGCCCCGATTTTGCAAAGCCTTTTGCGATACATTGTGACGCTAGCAAAACCGGGATAGGCGCAGTTCTAGTACAGGTGTCTGAAGATGGAGACGAACGGCCTATTGCCTTCTTTTCAAAGAAGCTGAACAAAGCTCAGCGTAATTATACTGTTACCGAGCAAGAATGCCTAGCGGCGGTAGCAGCTCTCAAGAATTTTAGGGCGTATGTGGAGGGGCATAAATTTAAAATCGTAACCGATCATGCCTCAAATCATGCAAATTTAAAAAAAAAATCCCTTAGTAAAATTCAACCATGCCAAAAAAAAATGAATTAAATCTAAAACTGAATTATTTCAATCGACTCTTGAAAAAAAAACTTTTTAATTTTGAAAAAAAGAATAGCATTAAATAATTAGCAAACCACTAAAAAAGATGAAATAAGAATTAGTTATAAAAGAACAAATCAATGAATTATCTCTGAACAAACTATTTCTTTCAACATTACATTTTTTGAACTATTTTTTTACAATCTTATCTCAACCGTTTTTAAGCACATGTTTACATACATTTTATACACTTATTATACTTTACTTATATATTTATATACACTTGCAGGCCCAAAATTCACTCATGCAGTTTAATTCTAATTTTGTATTATTTCGATTAAATAGTTTCATCTAGGCTTAGAATAATCAAGAAATTAAATATGTTTACTATCAAGGAATTAAATTTAAAAATGAAAGCTTAAGTAATTAATCAACTGAACTCGGCTGATGTCTCTGCGGTCCTAGGGTATAGAAGGGATCACCAGAGTTATCCTCTAGCGGCAGGTGGTCGAAGGTAGGGTGGGCAGAATGCGAGCTTAATGACATCTCAGGCTTCGCAAACAACAAATCTCTCTCTCTCTCTCTCTCTCTCTCTCTCTCTCTCTCTCTCTATCTCTCTCTCTCTCTCGTCCTTTTCCGCTGTTCCTTTTTTTATTTTTTAATTATGCATATTTTCTTCCGGTTTAGTAACTAGCTTTAGATATTGTCGCAAGCACGCTCATTTCGGATCCTATTAATAGTAATGCGTAGACAGTGTCAAGATCTGTACGAGCAAGACCTCCACCCCCAAAGCCGACGAGCTAGTGCCGGAATATATAGCGTGCCCAGCCAATACAGATCCTTGGAAACCTTTTGTACATTAGTCGAACGTTACACGTTACAAATATTGTTCGTGTGTATGGTCCCCTTAATATAAAAAGTATCAGGACCTTATTGAATCAGTACAGAAACAATTTCTTTTGTTCGCCCTTCCGGGTTTAGACTGGGACCCACATCGCCACCTTCCTCCTTATGCTGACCTCTCTTAAGGTTCGTCGGACCTGCCATGGCGTGATGTTCCATCATAAACTAATAAATGGATATATTTTTTCTAGTAATCTTCTAAATCAAATACGTTTCTCAGTTCCTTCCAGACCATCACTTTACTTTCGACCTATAGCTTTGGATATTTGCAAAACTAATTTCGAGGCACACGATCCTTTTCGCGTTTTATGTTTGCTTTGCAACGACCTGTACTTTTTGTTATATTTTGAAATATAACAAAAATAATATTTTAAGACACCTATCCTTGCCTCTGACCACCTGATGTGAGTCCGAGCATATAATTAAAAAACACTCCTTATCCGGTCTGAGGTAAGGATATGGATTTAAAATTGCAGATATTTGCTATTCTTAATAAATAAATAAATAAATAAATTTCAAGAAAAAAACACTGCTAGCCACACACATCCAAATGGACGACGAGGAGCTAATCGACATCATTGAGGGGATTCCCGACTCTCTTCTGCGACAACAAGCACACATGCACTGCTCTAACTCGTCTGCACAGCTGTTGCAGGCGTTTGCAAAGGTTGCTTTATGTAAGCCACCACTGTCTTGGCCAGGACGGGCCGAAGTTTCGGCCCGGAATGGACCTGCTTTGGCCCCTCCAAAAAGGTGCTTCATCTGCAACTGCATCGGACATTTCGCTGCCGCAAACCTAAGCGTGAGCACGGAGCCTGCTGCGCATGTGGCAGTATGGATCACCAGGTTCTGCTGCACTGAAAAGAAGTACGTGCCCAGCAATGCTGTTTAAGATTTACTTTCGTTCAGCAACTGATCAATGCTTGTTTTTAGAATGCCTAATCGACTCTGGGATTCAAATTAGTTTCATTAAGGGGTTATCCGGGTTTAGAACCACAAAAAAAGGCCTATTTTCCAGAATTTTTTTAAAAGATCCTATGACAATTTTGCAAATTTCATTTATTCTACATTAATACATAAGGTTTGAACTAAATTCTGTAAAATTTTGAACAAGAAATATTCACAAATGAGCCGTTGAGGGAGGGTTGAACTTAACCCTAAAAAAAATTATGTCCTTGCGGTAGGCCGGATTTCTCCGTCAATTTTTATTTGAAATCAAACAAGAAAGGAAGCTAACTTCGGCACGCCGAAGTTTTTATACCCTTGCAGATTGGTTTCGATGTTTATATTATAGATTTAAATGCTGAAAACACTCACAAAACAGAGTTTCATTACATTTTACCTATACTTATTATGTTTACAGTTTGACAGTTACAGTTTTACATTCCCAGCTTTACATATTTTATACATTTGCCGATCGCTTCTATGGCAGCTATATGATATAGTTGTCCGATTTTTATAAAATTTATACCAAAATTCTAGAATAATAAAAAAAGCTTATAACTTAAAGTAGATGAAAATACGTTGAAAAACAACGAAGTTATATTTTTTTCGATTAATTTCCCGATCGTTCCTATGGCAGCTATAAGATATAGTCGTCCGATTTTCATAAAATTTTTACCAAAATTCTTAAATAATATAGAGTGGCCATATCTAAAAAATGGTGCAAAAATGTTGAAAAACAGCAAAGTTATAATTTTTTTCTAAAAATATATCGAACATTTGTATGGCAGCTATATGATATAGTCGTCCGATCCGGCCCGTTCCGACATATATAGCAGTGAGAGCATATAGAAGACTATATGCAAAGTTTCATTCAGATAGCTTTAAAACTGAGGGACTAGTTTGCGTAGAAACAGACAGACGGACAGATGGACAGACGGACAGACGGACAGACGGACAGACGGACATGGCTAGATCGACTCGGCTGTTGATGCTGATCAAGAATATATATACTTTATAGGGTCGGAAAGGTCTCCTTCACTGCGTTGCAAACTTCTGACTGAAATTATAATACCCTGCAAGGGTATAAAAACCAAAATTTTTCTTTTAGCTTATGTGTCTGGCTTGTCTCTGAACGAAGGATTTTTTAAAAAATTAAAAATTGAATTTTTGGGAGCGTTTTTCATGAAAAATTACACTTTTTACGTCAATTTTGGCCATATTTGGGGTTATAAAATCGGTTCTAATTGAAGATATAAAAAATCCTGCGTTCAGAGACAAGAAAAACATGTCTAGAAGAAGTGTGGAAAATCTGAAGTCGATCGGTCCAGTAGTTTTCGAGAAATCTTGACTACCGACTTCAAGAAAGTGGTTTCGAGAAAAACGCGTTTAAAGTTTTAATTGCCAGTTGTGACTCATACGACGCGCTGGGCTTTAAATTTGTCCCATTCCTACAGTTTTGCTTTGATCGACTTGAAATTTTCGGACAACATTCCTGACACTTTGTACTTTTATATAAAAAAGTTTGAAAAAAATGCATTTTTTGAAATTTCAAAACCCGGATAACCCCTTAAGATGTCTTACGCGGAAAACACACTAGAGAAGCAAAATATCAAATCGAATGAAAAGATTCTTACAAATTACGTAGTCTTAAATGGTAGCCCTTTAGATATAATCGAAAAAAATATCATGTTTTGTCATTATTAATAAAGTAATGTTTAATTTTGAGTTACTAATTGTGGCGAATAAATTGATAGATATGCGGAAAATTGTTGTTCAAATTATAGTTATGCCGAAAATGATAGTTTAATGGAAAAAAAATTAACATAATTATCGTCCAAATTATGGAAATTGGGAAAATGATTGTTCAAATAATAAAAGTGTTTAAGACGATAGGTAAAAAAGTAATGATAACATAGTCGAGGATTCAAATAATGTCAAATCGTTACAAAATACCGTTAAGTCACATTATGAATACAGCCAGCTAAACATAAACGAGAAGTGCGATGCAAATTTAAGAAACAGAATAATAATTATTTTTGAACAATTTTATGTAAAAGCGAAACGTCCAGTACTCCCATCAATAAAATGGGGAAATGAAACTTAATTTTGATAAAACTAAACCATTCAACTACCTCTCGAGGCGTCTATCGTTTGCGGAGAAAAGCGAAGTTCAAGATTTGTTAGCCGATTATATACAAGATGGTATTAAGCTTGTAAGCGAGTCCGAATATGCATCACCAATTGTTCTACTTAAGAAAAAGTCAGAAAAGTTAAGAATGTGCGTTGACTATCGCACACTTAACAAAAATATGATAAACGACCATTACCCCACCACCCTAATAGACGACCTTATTGACAAACTTTCTGAAAAAGTCCTTTTTTACGAAGCTAGACCTTAGAAACGGATTCTTTCATGTGCACATGCATGAGGATTTAGTCAAATACACCTTATCACTACGCCAATGGGACAATACGAATGGCTTAGAATGCGATTAGTAGATAAAAAGCTGGAGCTAAGAATTGACAAATGTGAATGCCTTTAAAGTGAAGTATTTAGGATACATTATATCAGGAGATAGTATTAAACAAGACTCAAAGGGCATGCAAGCAGTTAAAGATTTTCCGGTGCCAACTAAAACGCATGAAGTTCAGAGTCAGAAGTTTGCAACGCAGTGAAGGAGACCTTTCCGACCCTATAAAGTATATATATTCTTGATCAGTATCAACAGCCAAGTCGATCTAGCCATGTCCGTCTGTCCGTCCGTCTGTCCGTCCGTCTGTCCGTTTCTACGCAAACTAGTCCCTCATTTTTTAAGCTATCTGAATGAAACTATGCATATATTCTTCTATATACTCTCACTGCTATATATGTCGGAACGGACCGGATCGGACGACTATATCATATTAGAAAAAAAATTATAACTTGTCTGTTTTTCAACATTTATGCACCATTAGATATGGCCATTCTTTATTATTTCAGATTTTCGATAAAAATTTCATGAAAATCGGACGACTATATAGCTGCCATAGGAACGATCGGGAAAATAATAGACAAAATTATAACTTCGTTGTTTTTCAACGTATTTTAATCTACTTTGAGATATGAGCTTTTGGTATTATTTCAGAATTTTGGTATAAATTTTATGAAAATCGGACAACTATATCATATAGCTGCCATAGAAGCGATCGGTAAATGTAGAGAAAATATAAAGCTAAAAATGTGTGACTGTAATGTCAAACTGTAAACATAAAGAAAGGCTTGTTTCTTAATGATCCAATTGCAATCTGCAAGGGTATACAAACTTCGGCGTACCTTTCTTGTTTTATATGAAATCAGATCTTATTTACAAAAGGAAAAAAACAGTTTACTCAGTGGTCTATTGATGTTTATTCCACACCACCACAAGATCATTCTGGCACGTAGTTATTTTGGAAAAAAATTATTTCTGACCCCACCTCAGATTTTTTTTTTTTTATGCTTTGCTTTTATTTATTGAATCTTCTCATTTATGAGACTAACAATAAGTGTATCAAATCTTACAATACTACCTAACTAGCAGTCTTGAGACTGGTACAGGGTAAATGGCCCTGACTAATTATGGCTGGGTTGGATGGTCGTTACGTAGTAGGAATGCCGAGATCCCTGTGGATGTGTTCATGGCGAATATACCATGGTGCCCCAGTGATAGTTCTCAGGATTTTTGATTGGGCGCGCTGTATGATGTCTAGATTGGTGCTGCACGCGTTCCCCCAGAGCTGGGAGCCATACGTCCATATTGGCTTTAGTGTGGAGTTGTAGAGCAATTTGCCGAAATTTGCCTATGTGCCTATAATCTTAAAAATACTAACACAGGCGAGGGTAAGATTTTAATTTTTTTTTTTCGATTTTTTTTTTTTTTTTTTTGTAAATAAAGGTTTAGTATCATAAAAGTATTGTGTGAAAGTTTAACATCAATTATTACAAAACTAACGAAGTTATGGGTAGTTGAACGGAGGTCGTTTGGTGTTCGTTGTATGAGTATCACAAAGTTTAATTCGCTCTCCTGAAAAATGACATTTTGAAAATCGGTGTACACGATAACTTAAAATCTACTTAACCAATCGGCTTGAAATTTTGAACATAACTTTTTAATTTAATTATACAGGTACTCACGTAGAGTTTTTTTTAATTTTTAATTTAATTATATTTTTTTTAACAAATTAACTTAACTTTTTAGTTAAAAATCCGTGGTTTGACTTCCAATACTGATACAAAATTCGAAAAAAAATAAAAAAATAAAAACATCACCTGAGTACTTTGGGGCACTTATTTTTTAACGAATGCAATACATTTTTTTGATATCGGATGTTTTTGTGTACATTTAGGATGTACACCGAAAACAAACATTTTTTTTGTGGGGCTCAAGAGATTCGCAATATCTTGTAGGCCTGTAAATATTTTTCAATACAAAAACTAAAAAAAATTGTTTAAATGTTTTGCTAATTTATGGTATTTAATTCATTAAGTTAACATTAGCCGTTTCACCAAAACATTTTTTCGAAAAGTGGGTAGTTTTGCACTAAATTAACCATACGCTCCCCTTAAGCTGTGTGCATTTGATGCTAGACAAATAAAATACACAATATATAAGTAAATAATTTTTTGTTACTTTTGGGCACCTGTATTTCACCAAAATTCTTATTAAGAGATAAAAAATTAATTCTAGGTCTTGAAAAAAAAATAATTTTATTCAAATTTTGTATTTTTAACCAAATTTGGTAAGAATGCATAAATTTGTACCAAACATATAATCTGTGAAATTGGTTAAGATATTTTGAAAAACAAAAAAGTTTTTCATACTAAATGTTGATTTTTAACAGTTTGTTCCTATGGCAGCTATATGATATAGACGTGATATATGGCCAATTTTTTGGGCATATACTTAAAACATTTTTCTTGATTATTGG